TAAATGTTCCCCTTCTTTTACCAGCAACATTCTAACCTCTTCTGTCTACAGTGGGTTTATCTGAGTTTTTTTTTTTTTTTGCTGAAAACAGTTGCTTGCTGCTTCTGGAAACAAAGGCAATCGAGACAGTGAGCATGAAGATGATAAACTGCTCCAGAGATGGCAGAAACCTCAGACTGGGGTGATACTGTGCAAAAGTCTGAGGCCAACATTAGATTGGTTGTTTTATAAATGTTATGATGAATATATATTTATTTATTTATCAGAATAGTACTAGAAAATATAGGAAATATGTACACAGTATTAAAAACACAGAAATGCCATGAAAAAAAATCAGCAAACAAACTGGATACTCGAGATGTGGTGTTCAAGGTGTTCTAAAGAAATATGAAGAATCCAGAGAGGTCAAAGACAAAAACAGGAGCAGAAGAGAACTGTCAAAATCTGATGAGAAGTTTCTCAGAGTTTCTTCTTTGAGAGAGCAGAGGAAATCCAGCGAGGACCTGGCTGGGCAGCTTCAACTGGATGCCAAGTTGATCCTTCCACAGTCCGAAGAAGCCCGATTGGGAACGGCCTTTGTGGAAGCGCAGCCAAGAAGCCACTTTTTCAGAAGGGGGAAAACTGAGATATGCAAAAGCTCCCAAAGACTGGAATGAGGATCAATGGAAAAGTGTCTTATGGAGCGATGAATCAAAGATTGAAATGTTCAGTCTTCGGCAGTATGTGAGAAGACGAGTTTCGCAGCCCTAAATGACATATGGTGGAGGGTCTGTCATGGTTTCAGGACTTCAAGACCATCTCCCCAAAAAGAATTCAAGCTGTGTTCAGTGCAAAGGGAGGTGACACTAAATACTGACTTTGGACTGTAGAAGCCAATTCGTTCTGAATTTTTTCAATACTGTGTACATATTTCCTGTATTTTCTGGTTCTCTCTTAATAAAGAGAGTGAGAAATAAATATATATTATCATTACAACCTAAGACTTCTGCACAGTGCTGTAGCAGAAAACTAGTATAGAGCCAGAAACTAAACTAACTCATCTGTCATATTTTTTTCACTTTTATCTTTTAACACGACATTTGATGACAGCTGTGAATCCTTCTTTGAACTCAGCAGAGATAAAAAAAAAAAAGACAGCAGCTGACAAACAGCTGCCAAAAAACCTTTATTCAGTTATAACCAGATGCCTCCAGAGTCACACAGATGACTCTGGAGACCATCTAAACTGTACACCAAGCTGAACAACAACAGCACCAGAATGCAATTTGTCAGTAAACACCATTTAAAACAAGAACAATGGCAGCGTCTACACACAGAGATCAGATACAAAATAAAAAATAAACTAGTACAGGAGTTAACAGTCAATGTGCATCAATTCTTCTCCTTGGAGAACAACCATCATATATTCATAGAATTCATTTGATAATATTGTGGAAAAGAATATAACAAAACATCATTGGTGCAATAGAGTATACTATTTGTAAAGCAAATACATATTGCAAGAGCTTTGTGTGGTGTGTTGTATTAATAATTAGGAAACGTATATATAGACTCAGTGTGTGACCCTGACAACGCTTTGTGTGTGTATAGGCTATTTAACGCAGTAGGCCCTCTTTTAAATGTGCCAAGAGAGAACACTCAGTTCAAACACAGCTCGGTGTTGTGTGTGAGCTCGAAAAGCGAAGGACCTTCAAAAAATGTCCCAAATGACTTCCCATCTGCACATACAGTGAGCATGGATGTACTTTGATGTACTTTTTAAAGGAATACTTTAAAAGTTTGGGAACTAGTTCTCATTTGCTTAGTGTTTGTTTTGTTTTGCTGAGTTATGTTTAGTCACGTCTGTATATATTAAATATGAAGCTGTACACACAGGAGAGTGGTATCAAGCTTCTCAACTAATTCTCAGTAAGAAAAATAGTCCAGTTTAGAGGTGCTTGTAAAAGGATTTCTCTACTTTGAGCAGAGCCAGGTCAGCTGTTTCCCTCTGTTATGCTAAGCTTCAACAAGCTAACCGGCCTTTATGCTATGCTAAGCTAAGCTGAGTTAAGCTAACCAGCTGCTGGCTGTAGCTTCACAGTCAATATACATACGTATATGGGAGTGGTATCAATGTTCTCATTGAACTCCTTGCAAGAAAGCTAATAAGCAGATTTCCTACAATATAAAACTAATTCATTTAAAGTTTTAACTCTTTGTAAGGGGAAGGGAGTCATTTGTGACGTCCCCTACAAAACGAGAATCTCCAGATTCTCCTGTTGCAACCAAAGACAGCTCTCCTTGTCTTGAGTTTTCAAATGTAAAAAGCTGCAAGCTATTGCTTGTATGAAACTGATTCATATGAGCCTCTGCTTTCAACCTGTGCCCCCACAGTGAAGGAAAGCCATCATTTTTTAAATAGACAGAAACAATCCTTATTAACTGAGGTCACGAGCCTGTGTACATGTGCTGCTTCTCATCACCCTCATCAATTATTCAATGACTTGGACAGGTATGCACACATAAACAGCTCCCTGCACTCCACTAGGATGCCAAACATCTTCTGTGGACTTGACTGTCTGATCTCTTAATGACCCCTGCGCTTCAAACTTAAGGCTCAAAAGCCCCAAAGGAGCTGCCAGACAAGTTTCACAGCATGTGTCTACGGCCTTGAACCACCGTATCGCGTACAGTAAACAAAAACCATATGTTGTGTGGTCTAGTGTTTCTGAAATATACCTTACATTTCATTTTGGTCATCTGATGGAGGTCGAGTGTTTATGCTAATGAAACACACAGACAGGGTGAGGGTTTATTTATGCTACGTTAATGTACTAGTTGATAATGAATGAGGTATGCCAGCTTGCACATTGGAACGTGTGTGTTTATGGCTGCAGAAATGGCTTGATCAGGCTTTGTAGGGAGTAAAAGTGCACACACACACACGCCCACGGTGAGTTTTTGTGCTCACACAAACAGACAAACAGGAGGAGGTGTAAATGCTATACAGAGCAGATGGAACATACCTCGGGCGGTCATTCAAAACACACACTTCGTCATCATCTCACACTGCACACACTGTACACAAACACACACACATTTGATGCTAACAACTCCCTGTGGAAGCTGCACATTTGGACCAGTGGCCTGGCGAGACGCGAGCAGCTTCCACCAGCGAGTCCCTCACATCGTCACAGGATGAGATGTGGAGCCACAGGGACATATGTTCAGCAGCATTTATAGCTAATGCCTCTGTGTGTGTGGGGGGGAGGGGTGTGCGTGAAAGAATTACTGCCCAGAAGGTCTCTCTGAAAAATCAAACACAGGTGACAAGCGTTTACAGCCGGGATGTTTAGATGCTCCTAACATATTCTGCTTGATAAATAATGCAGACTGGTGTCAATGCTGCAGTTGTTTGAAAGGTGGACT